ATCATTATTATTATTATTGATATTATTATTTGTATTATTGTTATTATTATTATCATTATTTTGTCCCCAGTTTTTTCTTTCGTGATTTTCTGTGTATAAACAGTACAAATAACCCTTTCCCTTCCCTTTCCCTTCCCTTTCCCTACCCTTTCTCTTTCCATTTCCATTCCCTTTCCAATATTTGCATTTTCCCTCCGTTTCAATTCATTTCTTTCACGTTTTCTTTCTATTAATTTCCCATTACCTTCCCTTCCCTTTCCATTCCTTTCTCTTCCCTTCCCTCTTAATTCATTTCATGTACCTTTTCCTTCCTTTTCCATTCTTCCCATTTTCCTTCCCTTTCAATTCATTTCCTTTCCCCTCCGCCTATTTATCTATTTGACTGAAATATGTTAATTGTAGAATGCATAAGATGATAATGTTAAATTTTTAGAGCTGCGCTACAGCTAGAAGACGTGTTTGACCATCCGTGTACTGTCTGCTTGGAAAAAGTGAAAAAAGTGACGTGTTGAAACGACACATGAAAACCCAAACTGGATTCGCTTGTCGCCTCGACTCTTACATATAGGAAAAAGTCTAAACTGAATCCAACTAAGATAACTATGACGAAACTGAACTGAACTGAATCCATCTTACATAAACTTGAACTAGACTTTTCTGAATTAAACTGATTAAACTGAAATTAACTCAACTCAACTCAACTACTCAACTCTACTCCTCTCTACTTAACTCATCTCAACTCAACCCAACTCAGCTCATCTCAACTCAACTCAACTCAACCCAACTAAGCTCATCTCAACTCAACTCATCTCAACTCAACTCATCTCAACTGAACTGAACTGAACTCAACTCAACTCAATTTAACTCAATTCAACTCATCTCAACTGAACTGAACTGAACCCAACTCAACTCAACTCAACTCAACTCAATTCAACTCATCTCAACTGAACTGAACTCAACTCAACTCATCTGATTTCATAGATCTAACAGAACTCAAGCTCACAACAAATAGTTTAGATTTTTTCCTATTCAGGAGGAATTAGATTTAGAAAGAAAATTTTTTGAGGTAAATCAATAAATCACTTTCGATCTTTTATTTTTATTCATCCTGTATTTCATATCCTTTATCCTCTATCAAGTGTCTTGTGTGTGTACTGTGTATCCTGTATTGTGAGTCCATGTATTGTGAGTCCATGTATCCTGTATCCTGTATCCTGTATCCTGTATCCTGTGTTTTATATTCTATGTTCTGTATCCTGTATCCTGTATCCTTCACACTGTATCCTGTTTCCTGCATCCTGTACCCTGTATTCTGTGTTCTATATCTTGTATCCTGTATCTATATCTACTACCTGTAAAAGATAGTTAGCAAGATTTCAATCAACCCCAGGGGGTCCATTAATGATAATATTGATTAAAGACAGTTTAGGTATATTAAGCATATCATATTTAGGTCTAACAGGGTGGCTTATAAAAAACCTCTACGCATGAAAAGCAGATTAAATGTTCTATATTCAATTTGCATTTCCTTTTAAAAAAGCTGGTGTTCTGTATGCCATAATTTTCATTAAATCTGAAAACTTATGTAAGTCCATGTTAAACCCAGCTCTTTAAATGCCCTCGGGTTTATTATTGATTCACTTGGGGGTTTAAATTTTATTTTTCTCTGAGTGTAAATGACACAATTTGTTTTAACAAACACAATCCCAAAAATCCAGTGAAACAAGAATATGGCCTAACTCAATACTTCCACTCCCCTTTTCTAATTAAATGTAATATAAAATATGCAAATTGGTGAAAGTATTGACATTAATCTGTCAAATACCTCCACCCAGCTTTACTCTCCTCTAAATGTGTTTATTTGCGTAATCAGAGGAATCTGCCGCGCAGCAGTTTTCTAGAACATGCTGTGAGGCATTCGAGCACAACACCACGTTGTCACAAAATGTAATGCCAAGAGAAACAAAATTGCTGTTATTACTTTTTGAGATGTTTTTGCATTTTTTTGTTTTTTAATGAGAGTATTACAAATAATCTAGGCTTTAAATTAATACAAATAGTTTTGCAAAAATGTTGTATGTTAAAACTTTTTATTCAAGTTTTACAGTTGTAAAACTCACTGTAAAAGTCCGAGATTAAATAGCAAAAATGAGCGTAACATATAAAAATTATATTTTTGCTAATTTTACTGACTCTACATGACGCCCAGGACAAGAAATTTATTGTCCTAATTTTAACCTTTACACTGCAGAGACAATTATGTAAGTAAGCGTGCAAATAAATGTGTGCAGATTCTAAATTGTAATTCTCTTGGGAGAAATGTTTAGAATTCTAGAAAGATTTGAGAAAGTAATGCAGTATTAAACTCTTCGATAAATCTATCCTGATAAGGTTTCTGGTCACCATCCACCAAGACTGCTCAACAACTTCCGCAAAAAGTTCCGGAATTGATTTCAGACTGCAAACGTAGCCTGCAGCACAAGATTAATTTGTTACATTTTCAAAAAAAAGTTGACGTTTGTCCAAATAATTCAAATCCAGAAGTCTAATTTTTTTCAATTTAGGATTTAGCAATGGAGAAGACTTTTCCATGTGCACAGTGCGACAAGACCTTTAAGGTAAGAATAAGTGCTGGAGAGAGAAAAAATGCTTTTTAAAATGTAAGAATGCGGGAAAATCTAAATCAATGTTAATTTCAAGGCTTTAACGGGTCATTAAATGTTAGGCCGGAATGCACTCCACTAGCATTTCAAATACTTCAAATACAAAGTTGAGATCTCTCAACCAATTTTTTCTGAAGTATCATTAGTCTCTGCAACTTGTATTGTAACATTACATGTTTAGCTATTCATTTTTTCTCTCCACATTTGCTAAACAAACCAAAACTTTTTTATCCCTCTTATCTATAATAGATGCAAATTTCTGCATTTGAAATTTGAAATTTATTTAGATAAGAAATTTACATGTAAATTCCTTGACTAAATTTCACCAAGTTTAAAATTTGATTTTTAAACCTGTTTCCCCCAACCCGCCAAATATGATGTATCTTTCTAGTTAATTTTCAATTTAATGAATTCAGATCTGTGACGAAAGCTTCTGAATATGATGAGCAAAGCTCATTTGAAAAGACATAACTTTAAAGAGTCTTATTCCATTTATTTGTCTATTTTGAGGATAATTTCTTTAATTTTGTTAAGATGAGAAAAGAAAATTTACTTTTCTAAATTATTATTTTTAAGATAAGAGCTGAAAACTTTAGAACGGGGGATATTGAGATCATTGGTTGATCTCCTCTTCTTCTTACTCTCCAGAGCTGGGAACTTTTGAATGGTGGATATCAGGATTAATGCTTGATCACATCTTTTTCTTAATCTCGAGATTAAATAATGCTTGTTCTCCTCTTGTTAATAATCTCCAGATTAATTAACCGATCGGGATTAAGGATATCCAATTCTAAAGTTTCCAGCTCAGATTAAATAATGCATGTCCTCCTCTTGTTATTAATCTTCAGATTATTTAACCGATCAGGATTAGGGATATTCCATTCAAGAGTTCCCAGCTCAGAGCTGAAAACTTTAAAACGGGGGATATTGAGATCATTGCTTGATCTCCTCTCCTTCTTGCTCTCCAGAGCTGAAAACTTTAGAATGTGGGATATTGAGATCATTGCTTGATCTCCTCTTCTTCTTACTCTCCAGATTAAATAATGCATGTCCTCCTCTTGTTATTAATATCCAGATTAATTAACCAATCAGGATTAAAGATATCCCATTCAAGAGTTCTTCTCCAGATTAAATAATGCATGTCCTCCTCTTGTTATTAATATCCAGATTAATTAACCAATCAGGATTAAAGATATCCCATTCAAGAGTTCTCAGCTCAGTTCATATATCTCATTTCAGATTTATTCACAACTTTTTTTTGGAGAATCCTTTACAATATCCAAATAGATTTCTGTACTTTGGAATGTTACATTTAGGTGACAGAACCCAGAGTTGATTCTTTTACATGGCAAATTTTTTTTTATCGCTAGAAAAATAAAGACATTTTGGCATTTGCTTCAACTCTGTAAGTTGCATGCAAATTGAAATGTTTGCAAGCCAAACCATACTTAATGCAATGGTTGCAATGCAAGGAAAGTTAATTGCAGTTGCGTATACTCTGCTTACATATTAAAACCAGTTCTCTCTGGGCGGAATTTGTAAACAAGAATTGATGCATCAGTGTTCGTTTAGTATCCGAGGAGGTTAAAAGCATTAAATTTTAAAAATTATGATAATTCACATAATAGTTTCCTATGACCAGAATATTTCATTGATTTTTTATGTGAAAGATGGGTCCCATGTCAGGCTTCGACATCCGTCTTCTGTTTACATTACCGCCCAGTGACAGTACACTGCAGTACAAAAGATGCGTACACCTCTGAAATAACTTTCCTTGCATTAAATCCTTGCTTAAAGCATTCATTTTCAATGATGTTATAGGAAGTGAGAACCTTGAGGCTTCATCAGAAAATTCATAACTCAGAATATCCCGAGCAGTGTGGTGTCTGCTCTAAAGTTTTCAGAACAAAATGGCAGGTTAGATTGATTGATTGATTGATTGATTGTTTAATGGAATAATTGATTGATTGGTTATTAAATTGTATACTTATTATTGAAGTCAATTATATGACATAACAGTACACAGTTGAAAAATTTCAAATGAGCTCTAAATATAAAATTTTAGAAACATTCTGTGCAACTTGAATCCTTAACAAATTGTTACCTCAAACATAACCAAAATAACTGACCAATCCCTTGAACGTAGATCTCCTGATTGATTGATTGACTGGTCCGGGTAAATATTGACCGATTTCTCCCACTTTAAATCTGAAATCTTACTATCTAATGCATTGAAAGTATTTAAATTCAACATGCTGTATCTAGAACTGGGCGGCGGAATGTGCTTTTACTGTTGATGTTTTTTCGTTTGTTAATCAAGTTATAACAATTTAGTTTGACAAGTATATATTCCTAACCTTTGTTAATCAAGTTGTCGTTGGTTAACAATTTAGTTTGACAAGTATATATTCCTAACCTTTGTTAATCAAGTTGTAGTTGGTTAACAATTTAGTTTGACAAGTATATATTCCTAACCTTTGTTAATCAAGTTGTAGTTGGTTAACAATTTAGTTTGACAAGTATATATTCCTAACCTTTGTTAATCAAGTTGTAGTTGGTTAACAATTTAGGTTGACAAGTATGTATTCCTAATCTTTGTTAATAAAGTTGTCGTTGGTTAACAATTTAGTTTGACAAGTATATATTCCTAACCTTTGTTAATCAAGTTGTCGTTGGTTAACAATTTAGTTTGACAAGTATATATTCCTAACCTTTGTTAATCAAGTTGTAGTTGGTTAACAATTTAGTTTGATAAGTATATATTCCTGCTTTAACAAATTGTCAGTTCGTAAAAGGAATATATGCAACAAGCCAACCGAAACTTCTGCTTAAAATGCGCTGGATCTTCTTAACACTGGGTTCACTAGATGGACTGGTACAAGTAAATGTGTAGTACAGGGTTAACCCCAAAGGATGAGACTTCAGAGACGATTGTACAGAATTTATAATGTATGTTACCTTATATTCATGTTTTCCTGCAATTATCAAATTCTTTCTTTCTTTGCCAAGTCACTAAATAATCAAATACAAAGCTAAATTCAAGGCAGAAGACTTAATTTATGTCGTCTTTACAATCTCATCCTTTGTGGATAACCCAGTATGTTTACACCAGACAGGAAAATCCTGGTTCAGATCATGCCACAAAGTTACAAAAGGACCCATGTGCAAGTTTCCGTTAATCCTAAAAAGCTCACATTAGTTGACGAAACGTTGCACAGACCTAATTTTCTCTATCTAACTAAACTTAGCATGAAGCATGGCCTCGAGCTTCTCTAGCTCTAAGGACATGAATGACGAAAGTGAATCCAATTACTAGGTCTGATTCAAGCTTTTAATAAACTGTCTGTTCACGATTCACGGGGTCAAGGGGTTCAAGGGTTCCTGTGGTCAAAGGGTACTAGTGTAANGTGGTCAAGGGGTTCAAGGGGTACAGGTGGTCAAGGGGTTCAAGGGGTACAGGTGGTCAAGGGGTTCAACGGGTACAGGTGGTCCAGGGGTTCAAGGGGTCCTGTGGTCAAGAGGTTCAAAGGGTCCAGTGGTCAAGGGGTTCAAGTATTTCACAAAGACCCTAAAACACTTTTAAAAGTTTTGCAAAAAAGTCCAACTTGTTGAATTTCTATATTTTCCAAAAAATGTAAAATATCCGGTCGTATCTATGTACTCTGCAACATGGACTAGACACAAATTTAAAAAATCATTCGTCATCTGTTCGTACTTTCAAATTTTCCCCGGAAAATGAAAATATTTTTAAATGAGTTTTTAGTGTTGTAATTACATCATCACTGCACTTCACTCAATTGTTTTGGACATAAAAAAAAACATTAATACTCACAACCCCTATGATTAAGAAGGGGCAATAGGGCATTATGAGGCCTATTCATGTTTATTTATTTAGTAATAACTTGTTACAGGGACAAGAACGTAATTAAATGTGACATTATGGTCTATCCACAACGATACCCTTTAAACCTTTATTTCTGAGAAAGAATGACTAAGATAACCTTATTTTTTTTCCTTAAATTTCTAAAATTGATAATGTTCAACTTTGGGTTTCTTTGTAAAAGTGACATGCGGATTTATGCTGCAATGAAAGAAATATTAAGAATTAAACACTTTTTAAAATGAAAAAACGAAGGTTTGAAGGGTACCCCGTTGGTAATCGGAGATGTCACCCTGAAATAGAGAGTCTATTGAAAATCATTGTAAAAGTGTTTTATAAAATATAANACTTTTTAAAATGAAAAAACGAAGGTTTGAAGGGTACCCCGTTGGTAATCGGAGATGTCACCCTGAAATAGAGAGTCTATTGAAAATCATTGTAAAAGTGTTTTATAAAATATAACATCTATCATTACAATAAACATCAATAAAGACATTTTATTAAAAACGTTTTTGATTTAAACACACAAACATCTTTTGTGAGTTCTATGAAAATAATCAATGGAAGAAAATATAATTTTATTACGACAAATAATGAAACACACAAATATTTTCTGTCGGACAAACACACACATTTGCCGAACACAAAAACGTGTTTAGCCTGGGTATAAGAAAACTGTGGAAAATTAGAAGTAAAATAAACAAATTTAGCAGACAACACTAGAGTAGAGTCATTTGGAGAATATTCCTAGAAAAATACGCAGTTTCCACAAAACAAATAACGTTTCATCATGTGTTATACTAAATTTCCTGAAACCAATCAATTTCTGAAATAATATACTTGTTGAGTAAACTANTTAATAAGATTAAATGTGATTTAATTTTTCAAGAAAACATTTTTCAGATAAACTTGATATTTTCGAAAATATAACTTCGGGAAAATTAAAATTTTTTTAAAATTTCAAAATTTTGCATTTCAGAACAGTGAGAACCAGAAAACATGAAATACACTTTATTATTCCATATTTCACAGTTTCCTAATTTTAAATTTATTCTTTTTTGATGTATATTTTTTTTAATGCACCAAATGTTAACCTCGAAACCCACCACTTTAGAGCACTGTGCATCCCTTGCGCCTTTCCTAGCCTTGAATTTTGCTGCTGTCTAAGCTTAGTACATAGTAAAGTTTAAAAGTACATTTATAGCGTTTAGTTCAAAGAACATAGTACACAGATCATAGAAAATATCAAATGCTTTTATAGTACATAGTTCATATTACATTTTTCAAAGCAAAGTACGTTATTCCTAGTGCAAAGTACATATATGTAAATACTACTTTTACATATTTCAATATTCACAGTACATAACACATGATTAAAGCAGTATCTAATGAATATATTTATATAGTTAAAGCAGCATCTAATGGATATATTTATATAGTTAATGCAGCATCTAATGAATATTTTTATATTTATTAAGCTGCATCTAATGAATATATTTATATAGTTTAAGCAGCATCTAATTAATATACTTATATAGTTAAAGCAGCATCTAGCGAATATATTTATATAGTTAAAGCAGCATCTAATGAATATATCTATATAGTTAAAGCAGCATCTAATGGATATATTTATATAGTTAAAGCAGCATCTAATGGATATATTTATATGTTAAAGCAGCATCTAATGAATATATCTATATAGTTTAAGCAGCATCTAATGGATATATTTATATAGTTAAAGCAGCATCTAATGGATATATTTATATAGTTAAAGCAGCATCTAATGAATATATTTATATATAAGCAGCATCTAATGGATATATTTATATAGTTAAAGCAGCATCTAATGGATATATTTATATAGTTAAAGCAGCATCTAATGAATATATATATATATATATAGTTAAAGCAGCATCTAATGAATATATTTATATAGTTAAAGCAGCATCTAATGGATATATTTATATAGTTAAAGCAGCATCTAATGGACCACGGTGGTGAGCGTCCCTACCCCTGCCCTGAATGCACATTTACCTGTAAAACAAAACAACAACTAAACGAACACAGAAGGAAACATTCGGTAAGTTAATATATTGAAATAATCAATTATAGTGAAAATAATGAAAAAATAGATCAATAAATTAATAAATTATTGAACTTTTTGTTTCAGTTTTTAAATTTTATAAATAAAGAAAGGAAAATGATAAAACTTTTTATAAAAATCTGGACAAAAATAAACATATTAGTTTTAATGAAAGATTTGTAACCAGCCCCCACTCCTGTATGCTGAGTCCATTAGCGCCTGATCCAATCATTTTTCAGTCATGTGTTTAATGTCTATTCTGAACCAATAGAAACAGTATAACAATATAGACATATATATAGATAGATAGATGAATATTATTTGTTTAAATATTAAAGGTTTACTTGTAATTCTTTATTGTATAATACTGGAAAATAATGTTTTTTTAAAAACACATTTTCACTTTATTTATAGATTCACGAATGTTACATTTTCACCTGTTTTCGTTAAAAATCATTTCTGGATTTATGCTGAAAAGACAGTAAAGATTATTTGACGAATTCAACACTTTTCAAGATAGACGGCAATATCTTCCTGATAAGAGTTTAAGAGGAAATTATGTTTCGAATCTGCCACTTTTTAAAAAAAGGGTCACTTAAAATTACGTTTACAGTCCCTTTAAAATTATCTTTTTCTTTAAACTCTTTTTGTTTTGTAGCTTTTATTGCTTAATTGGTACAATTTGTTTTATGGGAATAAAGCGCCTCAACAATTATGAAAGAAAACCAAAAATATAGTTTTTTTTACGTTGTGTATAAACAATAAAAACAGTTTATTTATTATTTACTTAATTTTTGGCGCACAGTCTCTTTAAATCTAAAGTTTAGGTGAGGGTTGAGTGAGCGTCTGAAGAATGAGAATCTGAAACATTTAATTGCCGATTTAAATTACAAGGGGGACATTATTTAGCACAGCAGGAAGATAAAGATCTGTTTAGATGCATTAAATCCACCTTTTACCCGGTGCAGTCTGGAAATGGCGCAAAGATAACAAATAATTTGCACAACGACATAACTTTTTGGGTTAAATCGATCTACTTTTCTTTTATTTTGTCTTCTCCAAATTTGATTTCTTAAATCTTAATAGATGAAACTAATATAAAAACCGTGTGCATGCGTTTTAAAGTTAAAATTCTCGTGTTTGACAAAAAATGTAAAAATACATGATAAATGCAGTGCATCTTTGACTGCTACATTCAATTACTAAAACAAATTTAGATATTTACAAGGAAAAAATTTGCAGTCACCAGATAGCAGATATTTACTAATTCATTAACAAGATGAAATCTATCCATCCCATTTATCTATCTATCTGTCTGTCTATCTATCTATCTATCTATCTATATATCCATCTATCTATCTATCTATCTATCTATCTATCTATCTATCTATCTATCTATCTATCTATCTATCTATCTATCTATCTATCTATCTATATATCAGGTGTCCGAAGAAAGTTCTAACATCTGAAGGAGAAACAATTTTAAAGAAAAGATCAAGAATAATTACAAAATTTTCTCTTCAGGTGATTTTATTGCAACCAAAAAAAACACGATATATTTTTTCAATTTTATATTTTTTGTTTATTTTGTTTTAGGATGATATAAAACTAGAAAACTTCAACGATGTCTCAAACATTAACATCATCAACAACAACAACAACATCAACGTCAACAACAACAACAACAGTACACAACTAAATAGAAACCAAATAAAGAAGCCTGTATCAAGCCTGGGTAGCCCTGGCAGAATAGAGAAGTCAGGACTTGATCTAAAAATTCTGGAAGCTATTCAAAGGTAAATATTATCACGTCTGTGTATTTACAACACACAAGAGGCACTGCGCAGAGATCTACCGCTTTAGTAATTGCAAATTGGCGGTACAGTCCAAACTAGGACCGCAAAGGTTGGTCCAACTCGGATATTCAAATGTACACCGTGACTGTGATCTTGCCAGGCTACATTTATTGCATATAACGTGCTGGGTCGACTGTACACAGTACGACTGAATGCATATATGTACAGTATGTGATGTACTGGCACGGATCATGCATCTTTTATACTGGGTTTCAGGCTNGAAAAATTAAGATTATCTAAACCAGATTGGTATAAACGGATATTTACAGAGCTAAAAAGTAACTAACATTTTCATGATGAATTCTTAGATTCGAAATTTTAAATTTCATATGATTTACATATTCTGTTTGTTTAGTTTTTTCCCCTTGGGCAGGATTTAAATAATCCTTGAAAACTAGTTTCAAGACTTAGCTGCCATTCAGGACTAAAATAAGGCTCGAGCTTTCAAATATGTTGGGACTGAGCTTTCGTGTAGCTGAGTTTAATTTTAAAAGATTAGTAAATTACCAACCCATGTTTCAACCATCCGGTAGCGTTTAATCCAGGCAGGGTTCACTGCCGCGCTTGTAGTGACTATTTAGAACCAATAACGATTGCAGCGGCGGTAGGATAATCTTTCTATTCTAATAGATCCACACTTAAATTAGCGGTAAACACGGTAAACACGAATAGGAATACTGAACACGAATAGGAATACTGAACAACTTTTACAAAACTCACAAAGTCGAGACTAACCCATCTAGAGTCGAGACTAACCCATCTAGAGTCGAGACTAACNGTTCCATAATCTAACTATATTATGTTCCAGGAGGGTTGTAAAAAAGGAGGAACAGTTTGAGTGTTCCATAATCTAACTATATTATGTTCCAGGAGAGTTGTAAAAAAGGAGGAACAATTTGAGTATAACAATGTCTCTGAAAATAACTTCAACATGGAACTCTTAAACTCCCGAGATCATTCGCAACAAACACAAGGTACAAAAATAATAAATACTATCAGTAACTGATGAACTCAACGTTTGATTTTTGAAAGAAAAAAAATTTGATTTTAAGCAATAAATCGAAATTTTTGCGATTTTTATAGCCTATGTTACCCCCGGGGAACTTAAGGGTTCCCTCAAAAAAAATTCAGCCCATTGGGTCCAGCCGTTTGGCCAGCTGTAGCTAATATACATACAAATATATATAAGCGAAAAGCTTTATAATATAGACAATCTAAATTTTAACAAATGAATTTAGTTTTGCCACAAACTCTAATTTTGCAGCAATTCTTTGCTGCAACGTCGTAGACCTTAGATATTACCAACTATGAATTCTGTCAAATCAAATAGTCTAAGTTTAAAATATCAAAGGTCTATGGATTAGAAAATTGGCGTTTGTGGCAAACTAGGTAACAATCTCTTTATTTCAAACAGGAAAATTATATTAAAAACAGTTTAGCTCTAAAACGAATCTCCGAAAGCATGCCAAAAGTCTTAATGAGTTAAATACGGTTAATTCTTTATATTCGGCTAGTCGAGCATAAATAGAAAATTCCAACATTTGTATTTTCTTTAAAAAATATAACATTTCTCACATATTTAGTAGCAATTTGTCATTTTCAATGGAACTGTAAAGATGTCATTTCAATTTACTTCGAATTTATAACGTGGTACCGTTTAAAACCTTTGTCTCATCAAGGATAAATGAGATATTCTTATTTGTCTACTTAAAAATTAATCATTTTCAATCGTGGGTTATCAACTAAATTGGCTTACGGATTCATGCGTGATAGGCAATGAAGGAAAATAACAGAATTAACACTTATTTATTTCATTATCACTAAGATAACAATGAAAAATTAAGATTATCTAAAACTGATTACGCGCTGAAATCTTGAAACGGTTGTAAGCCCCCTGCACTCACCACCCCAGCCCCTCAAAATTTAATTTCGCCCCCTCCCCCCTTCCCCTCACAAAAGTGCTAGTTGCGCCACTGGCTGTTCCGGTTTTCCTAAACTGTGCTGGATTGGTTGAGTTATATACACTTTTGTGGATGCATACTTAATATTAGATTAATCTTGAGATTAACAAGTAAGAGAAGATTAAGCATTGATTTCGATATCCACAATTCTAAAGTGTTCAGCTCTGGTTTCCTATTCATGAAGTATACTAGATCTTGTACTCTAAATACTGTTTCCACATTTTTGTAAAAACTGGAAAAATTAGTTTTTTAAAGTTTTTGTAAAATCAGGTCAAACCCCACTAATAGTGTGTAGACAAAGTTATGACACATTAAATTTTTTTTGTCTCGCTTAAAATTGATTATTTTCAATTGTGGTTTCTCTGTAAAATTGACTTGCGCATTTCTTCTTCAGACACACTGAAAAATGAGCAATGTTCTTTTTGGATAGACAAGCACTGATGTCTTTTTCCTTGTTACCCAGACAAAGGTTTAAAGTGTGAATCGGACATGCCACTCTATAAATGGACTTTTTCACTAGCAAGTACTTATAGGCAATATACCTTTAAAGTACGTTTACNACACGGAATGTTTTAAGTTGAAGCTCTGAGAGTTATAATATCCCCTAAACACAGTCTAGTAGAATGTGTAGAATTTTAAGATTTCCAAGGACATTGGCTAATTAGAGAGATAGATACAAATATGGATATATATAGATATAAAGATAATTAGATAGACAGATTGATATGTAGATAAATATATAGATAGATAATAGAACAACATGTAGATAAAGAAATAGTAAGATAAATAAATAGATAGGTAGAATTTTAAGCAGAATAATGCAACGAAAGATTTAAATTATACAGTTGGATAGATCCAATATAGATTCAATGGGGTTGAACAAGATCACATGCAGTACACATGCAGTACACATGCAGTACACATGCAGTACACATGCAGTACACTGCTGTACACTGAAGTACACTTGAAGTACACTGAAGTTGTTTAACTCAGTGACATCAGTAATAAATTAATGAAAATTAATAAATATTTATTTCTAGAAAAACTATTGAGTAAAATAATTAAAAGATTAAATAAATGAATTAATGAATTAACAGAAAGATGAATGAATAATCAAATAGGTGAATGGGTGAATAAATGAATCAATGAATCAATGAATCAATGAATAAATGAATGAATGAATGAATAAAGGGATAAATAAAAGAATGAATAAATGAATGAATGAATAAATTAATGAATTAATAAATGAATGAATAAATAAATGAATAAAAGAATGAATGAGTGAATAAATGAAAGAATTAATGAATAAATGAATGAATAAATCAAAGGATTTATGAATAAATAAATAAAAGGATGAATAAATGAATAAATGAATGAATAAATATATGAATAAATGAATAAATGAATATATTCAGGGGGAGAAGGCCTACTGGTGTCCCCAGTGTGGAACCAGATTTACTTATAGAAATGGTCTCATTAAACACACAAAACTAAACAGGTGAAAATTACAGGGCGCTTCGTGCCCCTCATATCTCTCATCTAATAATTTCAGATTCGTGCCCCTCATCTCTTTCATCTAATAATTTCAGCTTCGTGCCCCTCATCTCTTTCATCTAATAATTTCAGCTTCGTGCCCCTCATCTCTCTCATCTAATAATTTTAGCTTCGTGCCCCTCATCTCTCTCATCTAATAATTTTAGATTTTTCTGGGTGAACACATTTTTTCTTCAAGCATTTAAAGATTTAAAGAAGATTTGCAGATTTTCTGTTTTTATTTATTGGTGGATTCAAACATTTAAAGTTTTTTAAAGTTTCGGATTGCCGCAAACTTTTCCTTAGGTCAGACGAAGTTCCTTAAAATGTGGGCTGTTTCTGGTAGACAGTTCCGACGTTTATCGGTTACAAACAAACAAACGAGTCAAAGGATTTGAGTTTTTGACACACAAGCTCAAATCTTCTGATCCCAATACCTTTGCAACCTGATAGTGCAAACCTTTGATATTTCAAACTTAGATTAATTTATCTATAAGTATTTATAATTTGAAATATCTAAGGTCTACGACATTGGGTTACAAAGATATAGAGATTAGAAAATCAGACTTTGTGGCAAAAACTCAACTTCTAATAGATTATAAGCAATGAAATTAAATTGACTTAAACGGGTGCTGAAAAAACGGTTTTGGCAAAATGATTGTCATGAAAAATCATGTAGACATTTGAATAAAACAAAAAATGTTGAAATAAAGTAAAAATATGTTTAAATTAATTTTAAACTTCTAGACGTTGAGACAGCAAACTTAGGTAAATTAATAAACATTGCAGTACAGTACAGCACAGTACAGTACAGTACAGTACAGTACAGTAAAGTACAGTACAGTACAGTACATTACAGTACAGTACAGTACAGTACAGTACAGTACAGTACAGTACAGTACAGTACAGTACAGTACAGTACAGTACAGTAGATTACAGTAAAGTACAGTACAGTACAGTAAAGTACAGTACATTACAGTACAGTACAGTACAATAAAGTGCAGTACAGTACAGTACAGTAAAGTACAGTAAAGTACAGTACAGTACAGTACAGAAAAGTAAAGTAAAGTACAGTAAAGTACAGTACAGCAAAGTACAGTACAGTAAAGTAAAGTACAGTACAGTACAGTACAGTACAGTACAGTACAGTACAGTACAGGTGAAGTTTTAAAGTGTACTGTTGTGAATCGGTCCCTCTTTCAATAAAATGTCATGACGCCATTTTATCAGAAAGTATACACGTCCATTACAAAGGAAGTGGAAGCTCTTTGACCTGATTATTTATAATTGTTATTTCCCTGAACTGTAGTCTCGTACTTTAAATAAAACTTTTCATTTACAAATATTATGCCGGGGGTGTTAAATAAGTATTTTTATTTTTTTTATTGGTGGCAAAAATCTACACTTCAGAATTTTTAAAATCAATAAATGCTTGATTTTACAGTGAAGATGCGTTTCTGTTATATATTTTTGAACAAAGAATAAGAATTTGTGCGATTGGGAAAGAAAAAATCGAAATTTTTATTTCAAAAAAAAAAGTTTATCAAAAGTGTATGTCCGTTATAAGAGGTGCGCAAACATCACGCTAGTTTCTCATTTTTGATTTGACATTTAGACCTCTTGTACAAATCTACCAAGAATTAGAAAAGAGGAAGAAATGCCCCTTCCTTTTAGTTATTTTATGAAAACGGACTGCTCACAAATATTATATCTAGGAACAACAGTGTTAACGAATAGTGTTGATATATCTTCCTGGGCAGCCACGCTTCCAGCAGGGACTAAGGTATCCTTATTATTATTATTATTATTATCATTATTATTATTATTATTATTNTAGTTATCATCATTTTTATTATTATTATAAATTTGATAATTAAGGTGACTGTAACGCATTATGACGCCTCTAAAAAGGCGGGTCAAGGTGAACTAGTGGCTACACCGACACATACAGAAACTATTATAGGTATTATATTTTATCTCTGTACGCCAACAGTAGTATAGTTTATCTAGTTTATAGCCATATAAAGTCGCTACACCAATTAAACCAATAAACAATTAAAGGTATTATATTTTATCTCTGTACGCCAACAGTAGTATAGTTTATCTAGTTTATAGCCATATAAAGTTGTTACACCAATTAAACCAATAAACAATTATAAGGGGGGATAAAAAATATATTTTTTAAAAGTTGTCTAATCGTCTAGTCATTTGTAGTTGTCATACAGTGATAACCAAAAAACTGTAGAATACGAAAATGGTAACAAAGTAATTTGATGTTGTTACAAAGCAAAAAGCTTTACTAGTAAATTATTTAATCACGTATAAAATGAAATAGGTCTATTTACACTGCGCAAGTCTAAAAGTCTAATAGTCGAGTTTTCTGGTCATCACTGTATAAAGTTTTTTAACAGTCTAAAAGTTGTCGAAATGTATTTATCTGTCTTGTTGTCAAATTGTAAAGTTGTCTAATGTCTCGCTGTAAAATTTTCAAGATGTCTATCGGTGTCAATACAATGATAATCAAATAATAGGAGTAACATTTTCGTCTTTATCTTTTGTTTAGTTATAAATACCGCTATGGGATTTTGTATTTACCTAGGACACAATTTCACTTTTCATAGTTTTAATGCAGAAATTACAGAGGAAATAATTAGCGAAGACGACAACCATTGTTTATGTCAAAAATTTAATTAAATATTTTTCATTGAAAGAAGATTCTAAAAGTCGTCTTTTCTTGTTTAGTGACGGAAAATATGGAGAAACAAATCCTTCACAGAAACTTGCAACAGAGGTATTTTGATAGATGTTTTCTTTTTAGACCTTGATAGAAGTATAGATGGATATATAGATAGATAAAGAGATAGATAGATGGATCAAGAGATAGAAGTGTAGATGGATAGATAGATATATAGATCAAGAGATAGATAGATGGATCAAGAGATAGATAGATGGATCAAGAGATAGATAGATGGATCAAGAGATAGATAGATAGATATAACGAACGATCCCAGGAAACATTTAAATCGAAGATGTCGAGTAAATAATTCTGGAAATGATGTTTAACATTGGCATATCGGAGAATGAATGTTTGCAGGGACAGATCGAACGATAGATCGAACGATAAATCGAACGATAGATTGAACGATAGATTGAACGATAGAGCTAACAATTTAGATACAGTGAAACCCTTAATAACGAATTCATCGAAAGAATTAATCAAATGTCGTATTCTTCACTTTCTGATAATGGAATGTTGCAGATATTTACTTATATGTGGAAAAGGTATATGGATATAAAATAGATAGAGTAGAGATAAATATATACGGTAGATGATAGATAGATAGAAAAATAGATTCATGTACTGATAATATATATATAAAAAGACAGATAGATAGATAGATGGGGGGGAGGGTATAGATCAGATAGTTTACTACATATACTACACGTCTCTGATTTACTTGATGCATTTCCTTCTTTGGCGTTAAAAATGTGTTCAGAGATCGAAACTTTTGTACGAAACAGTGCTTATCCACAACGATCAATTTTGATCATAAGATACGGATTATCATAAGATAGGGATTATCATAAGATATGGATTATCATAAGATATGTATTATCATAAGATATGTATTATCATAAGATACGGATTATCATAAGATATGTATTATCATAAGATACGGATTATCATAAGATACGGATTACCGCTTGTTTAACGGATAATCAAAAGTTCTGATCTCAGCTGAGGCCGGATTGATAAAATCCTGACCTCAGCTAAGGCCGGACAGATAAAATTCTGACGCCGGAAGACGAGACTGAATTTAATTCTCGTGTTTTCTCATGCTTGGCGGACACATTTTTTACAATTTTAGAAACTTTTCAAATCCTGTAGTTTTAGATTATAATTCCTAATTTTGGATTTTGATAAGAATTAATAAAAGTAATCTGTAAGTTATAGAAAAGGTTTCGGTTTTTTATAACCCTAAGTGAGACAATTTTACGTTAAAGACGAATATGTTTTTATAAATTTGTATGTAAATGGAAACAAACATCATAATCAATCTTTATTTTTAATTTAAAGATGAAAACATTTATAATAAGAAAACTGAACATTTCTAGAATCGCAATTTTGCTCAGTAAAATGTGTAAAGATGTGAAAAATTTGTAAAAATGTTAATTAGAATTTATTTCTACTTCCTATGCAATATGCATGCAAATTCGGGAATTTTCTATTGGCAATATCAAGATTTAAGAACAGATAAAGACTCTGAAGTAAATTGAAATGTATTAAAAACCAAAATATTTTGAATTTTTAACTCTTTTCGGCCCAAACTTAACATAATATTCCTAACCCTCTGGGCATGAGAATTCATGTTTTGATATTCGACTCGAAAAAGAGAAATTTTAATGTCCCATGTGAACCCTTGAAACCGTTGTCGGAGTAAAAACGGTGGAATTATTTCTATTGTTCTATCTTAAAGTTGATTATTTTCTTTGGCTGTTTCTCAACAAAATTAATTGCGCATTTGTGCGCCAGAAGAAAAAGAAAGAAACATTTTCGGAAATCGACACTTTTCACACAGACAGTCTCCTAAACTTGTTTGTGAATTGTACAAAATTTAATTGTTAAGAAGACTAATGTTAGCACGTGGTCTGATACCTACTTCTGGTCTGATTCCTACTTCCGTTCTGGCTCCTGCTTCCGGTCTGGCTCCTACTTCCGGTCAAACCACGGCCCACTCCTCCAACTCATCCTCTTATACAAGTCAGGTACAAGTTTAGTACAAAAACAGTTTAAGTTTTCTTTTTTAGCTTTCTTTAAAATCATACGTTGTACTTTTGATGACGAGTTTTTGGCCGCTAGGTGTCTCTGCCAAGTAAAATATCTGAAATATTGAGAGCAATAAAAATCGTCATAAAAATTACAGCGTCTTATTTTAATGAAAAACTTAAAAATGAAAAATTTTAATATATAAATTACCTAAAATTGCTAAGCACCTCTGGGTTATTGTAATCTTCATATTCGTTCCGTATTTGCTGAATATTATCTTTTTAAACTTTGATTCAAATGCCATATCACATATATAAGAGTTTTCGTTTAACTTTGACACAGTTTTATATCAATTTCTCCAGACAGAGACATTAGATAGAACTAATTTTGGTCTCAATTAACTCCTAAAATGTTTAGGCTTCGGCCTTTCAGTCCCTTTAATGACCACCTGAAAGTTCTGGGTTAATCTATTTACTGACAACATATTTGATTTATTTTAAATTAAAGTTTTCAACTGAAAGCATTATAAAATCAAGATTTAAAAAAATGTGAAATTTTAAGACGACTGTCAAGTTATGATTTTGCCAAATAGTCCAATGGACATAGAACACAGCAACTGTGCAGTGTACACAGGCCCATTTCACTTAGTTATATCTTTTTTCTTTTTCTAATAAGATCATAGATACAGAAGATAACTTGTCTTCCTATTCCATAGTTTTTAGAAACCAGGGAAATGAAGAAAAAGCAAAGAGAAAAATAGGAATGAGACAAAGTTAAAAAAAACCAGTTTACCAATGTCGCTTTAAAGACGACTGTACAGAATTCATACTGTCTCTTTTCTTACATTTATGATTCCCTGCAACTTGTTTTTTTCTTTGTGAAATCATTGAATCAGCCATAAAAAGATCATATTTCTGACAGAAGACTTAATTTAACCTCGGAATCGTTGAATTTAAAGAGTTTCAGGTCGTCTTTACAATCTCATACTTTCCGTGTAACCCTGCTAAAGAAACCCCTTTTTTAGGAAGCATTGAACCTGTTCTCAAGTATAGGCTTTCCAAACTATGTAGAATCATTTGCAGTCGATCCTAACGAAATTCTAAGGTACAACAAATTAATATGATGATGATGATGATGATGATGATGATGATGATGATGATGATGATGATGATGATACTGCTACTAGAAAAGAGAAGCTAGTAAAGAGTGAGCCTGCAACTCCAACGCCCGCTGAAGATTTTAAACCTGAATTTAGCAGAAGAAGAACTATGGAAACAAACACACAGTCAAACCTACAGACAAACTCACACTCAGTTATAGCGGACACTTACCCTTCATTATTCAGACAACAGGTTAACATTTTTATGTTCGATTCACACCGGTACCTATAAAAGCTTTGACAGATCAAGAATGAAAGAATCATTCAGGTTTAGGTTTTTCTCTTTGAAATCTCAATTTAACTGTTGTTTTTTCTATCCCGAGTAACTTGCGGATTTATGCTAGAAACAATGGAATAAATTGCTAGAATCAAACCCTGGAAAAAAAGACGATATCCTCCTTATTATTGATCAGATAAAGGTTTAAAGGGTACTATTGTGAATCAGTCCCTCATTAAATAAAGGGTTAATTGAAATTACACCGATAGTCTCTTTCAGACCTTTTTGAATTTTACCCAACAAATCAAATTAGGAAACAATTATTCCAAATATATGTCAGGGACTAAAGAGTGTTTTTAATAGGTTTGGTAGCATTTTCAGGAACTTCCAAAAATTAATAAACGTGTCGTAAACGATTTATGATCCAATTCTTTATTCAAGAAATGATTGTGCCATTTTATTTGTCAGACATTTTAGCCCTTTTCTTACTGTAATTAGAAAAAAAGGGTGGTCTCTAGAGCAATGGACACTTAAAATCCGTTAAAACTTTTAACATCTGAAAAGCGGAGAAAATCCTTCCCTCCCTCTCACCGGTTCTTACTTCATCTTCCGCCAACAATCAGTTACGTCATATGAGGATTTGAGTGTTCATTGCCATGAAGACGACATTGCTATAACATTTGAGCGTAACTTACTATAGCTGTCTAAAATCCAGTCTGGTACTTCAAATGAACTGCCAGTGTCATTTGATATTTAATTCCTTTCTGAGAGCTGACATTTTTATTGATTTAAAAGAACATTTTTTGTATAAAAACCTGATTTTCAGGTAAAGATTGAACCCCTTGAATATTGTCCTGTAAACGAGATTAAGAACGAGGTTCTCAGTCAACTGTTTGATTGTGAACCCCATCTTCTCCTTCAACCAGGACAAGAGGGAGATCTAGGACCACCAGCAGAAACAGGAGCAGGACTAGGAGCAGGAGAAACAGGAGAAAGTTTACGAATGAAGAAACAGGAATTACAGGTAAATCATCTAAACTATTGTAAAGTAAACGTGGTTCACACATAAGACGTGGTTCAAACATAGTTGGTTCAGCTGGAAATTTTTATAAGTATTTTGAGATTTAAGCTGGCGCTCAATTGGAACCGGATATTGGCGGTTTAGGTACGCAGTTCAAATTCTTTAAATTTGGGCCTCAGGTCTACCGAATATGCCGAATTAAATGTTATTCATTGTCAGCAGGGAAATGTATTCCTCTTGAGGAGTTTGATTGGAGTGAACGGAATGATTTTCTTGTTTCAACTTCAAGTATTCAGAGTGTTTCTTTAAGGAACTGTAATAGCATTAAAGGGACTGAAAGCGATATTTCAAGTGAACCTCCAAGCAAAGATGGCGATGTCCAATTCAAACAGTGTAAACCCTTTACAGCGTTGTTTCATCAAGTATGAAGTATAAATCAATGTTTATAGTTTAGAAAACTGAATTTGAAAAAAGGGAATTGCGAATTTCTAACGTAGGAAATCATGTGAAAATTATCAGAATCAACCCCTTTTAAATCTGGAAAAACTACCATATCTTCCGCATTATTGATCAGATAAAGTTTTCGAAGGTATCGTTGCAACTTCTTTTTGCAAATTAGATTCAAAGAAATTGTCCTTTTTCCTTGATTTTTTTATTTTTGCTCACAAATTGTTGGTTTCTATACTTTTTAAGTCCAAGATTAGGAATATAGAAGTATCTAAAAACACTTTCAATTGCGACATTTCTTTTAAAAGACTAGTCTTAGGGGGCGCTTCGCGCCCATCTTCTAAATTAATTGTGAACATGTTCTCTTTGTGTACATCGTAAAACAAAACAAAAATAATTCGCGGATTTTCACAAAATATTTCGTGGATTTTCAAAATTTTCAAAAATTTAGTGAAGATCGAATTTTGATGGAGACAAATATTTGAAACTTTGATCATTCATAAACCTTCCCTGGGGTCCCTAGATGTCCCACAAAAAAATTGGGCCCGATCGGTTCAGCCGTTTTGACGTTTATTGGATACAAACAAACAGACAGACAGACAGACAAGCCAAAATTATATATAGATAACAAATCGTGAAAAATTAAACTAATTTTTAAACAAAGATATTCCGTCAGTCTGAAAAATAGGAGTTAGACATTTTCCAATGAAGGGAGGAGAAGAATTTAAAACTCAACTCAATTAAATCTTTTGTTTGAAAACCTTGAAATTTTGCATTCTTTCTTTTACTTCGTTCTTCTTCTGTAAATTAGTTTTATTACTGAGAGTGTTATTGAAAAATAGAACGGGTTGATAATCAGCAATAGATCTGTGCTATTTTTAATCCTTCCTCATTTGTCTCTTAAGAGAAATTTATATAAGAATGTTCCTTGCAACTTTTATTGTTTTAAAGATTACAAATCATAATTACTAATCAGGTTTTAGATGCTGAATATTTCAGACTTGTAAAAATCTTTTATAAAATCAAATCAATTTTTTTCTATGGCAACACTTTCGGGGATTTCACTGATTTGAAGGAATGAAGGGATATATTTTGTTCAATAGTATTCAGTATTCATAGTGTTTGTTTATTTTCTTGAGTAGCATACAAAGACTCTGAAATCTTATTCTCTGAAAATATGTAAATATAATATATATGTATATAGTTTCAGTAGAAATAAATATTTCCATTTACTGTTAGCGCCGATTGAAGGATTCATATCTCTAATTGGATAATGAGAGAGATAGAAAGATAGATGTTTCCGCCATACTGTTTCTATTGGTTCAGAATAGACATCAAATACATGACTAAACCCTGATTGGATCAGGCGCTAATGGACTTGGCATACAGGAGTGTAAAGTAAAATATGTAAATATATTTTCCCTTTACAGTCAACCCACGTACTCAGCCTGGAATTAATAAGCCAAGCTAATAATTATCAGAGATAAAAACTTTTCGAGTTAAAAAACACATTTTTATCAGCTTCATGTATCATGGAAACCGTTGTAAATCGAGCATTGCCATCTTTCCCAAACATCACGGGCAGCCGTCGTACATTTGAATTTCCGAGCCAAGTCAACCTTTCCGGTCCCAGTTTGTACTGTACCTGACTCTATGGACAGGACTAGCTGGTGCAACATGGTTGACGCGGTCCGACTTTATGCTTCTAATAGTTTGAATTTACTTTACTAAAGGGGCAGAGGTGCGTGACATATCTAAAATATATTGAGACAATAAGATTATGTAAAAACTGCTTGAATGAAAGCTAAAGAAAGAAATCTCAGAGTTGTTTATTCAAGGGTGAAGCTATGGTTAAATTAGATTAAAGAGCATCATTTTCATTCCAAACTAGATAATATAAAGTACAATCAAAGGACATGTTCAGAACATGGGGCGGAAAATCACCTACTATTATTATCATTATTATTGTTGTTATTATTATTATTATTATTATCATTATTATTATTATTATTATTATTATTATTATTATTATTATCATTATTATTATTATTATTATCATTATTATTATTATTATTATTATTATTATTATTATTATTATTATTATTATTATTATTATTATTATTATTATTATTATTATTATTATTATTATGTACATGGATCTGAAGTTAGAACCCTTCTCTCCCTTGGCGAGTCCAGATTCTGGATTTGGAGATTCTCATCCCCTTGGTCTTCAGCTAGGAGGACATCTTGAACACCAGCTAGGAGGACAGCTGGATCAACAGCTTGGGGAGGATCTTGATCAACAGCTGGGATTATTAGAACATCAGCTGCAGCTGTCACAAGAGGAACGTCTTGAAGGAGAACTTCTCCTAAAACAGCAGCCAGATACAACAAGGTATTCTTTAAGCACTTATACTTCTTTATAAAACCTTTTATACGTCTTAGCAATAGTATTACTCATTAAAGTGTCACGTCTCTGAGACATCATTTTAATCATTTTTATTTTAAAAGGTTTCTAGAAAGGTTGTTGCTTCGTCGCCCTTCCGTACAGACCCTTTCCAAATTTTAAAAAAAGGAGACAGTTGAGTTGTGATAGAAAAAAATAGTCTGCTGCAGCGAACATAAATCTCTAATTTGACGAGATCCTGCTTAAAGATATCTTTTCTTATTTTAGCTTTATTTAAAAAATAAATAAAAATTATGGAATAATTTTTTTATAGGGATCGTCAGATTCTGCCTGACTTTGACGCAATGGACTTTGACGATCTATTAGATGAGATTCACAATTCAGCTGATATTCATGGATCAGCTGACAACCACGGAACAGCTGACACTTCAGTTGACTCATTTCTAAGCGCCGCAAGTTCAACATGTGACACCGGTGAAATGGATTTCCGGTCTGCTACAGAAACCGGTTTTAGAGAAAATCATTTTATGGATATCATCTCGTCAGTGTAAAACAATATTTTATAGTTTAACATGCTTAATCAAAAATATTTTGTTTGCTATTTTAAGATTAAAGACATTCATGATCCGAAAATACCCTAGCGGACGTTTTGCAGAATTGTATGGAGGCTTTTTAGTTTATGAAGGGATTTATTAGATTTTCAAGTTTTAGAATTTTACCATTTGTTATATTATACTCCTAGATAGTTTTTCTTTTTGCTCAAAAATATCATGATTAAATTGACTTTGTACATAAAATATGTCAGATATATGTTGATTATACTTTGAGTAATTGTTATTTTACAAAATAATGTAAATTTGCTTTATAGAAAATTAAAAATCAAACATATATTTGTATTGTATAATGTAAATCTATAAGATAACTAGGTTAAAACCTTTATATTATTATTTATATTCTCAAATTTTACTGTTCGTAATATTTTTGTTCTTTAAGGAACCCTGTCTAATATTGATTATAATTTTACTGTTTTCTTATAAAAGACATGTAGCATGTTTACAAAAGACATATTTTGTTTACAAAAAGGGATTGTTAATTCAATTTTTATCAACTTGATTCACAATTTTTTGGGACATAAATTTTGACATATGTCAGCTATTTTCTTTCTTGTCCCCTTGCTGCTTTAGAACTCCGTCATTCATTTCAAAAAATGTTATCAGCCTTCATAAAAAAACTACTGAAATATTTCAACATATAAAGGTTTAATGTAAATGGAGAATAATTTAGAATTTGATTGACAGTCCCTTTAAATAACCCTTATAAGGGATTATTATCTCATTAAACTAAAGTACCATGTATCTTAAACCATTTGGTCTCAATTTATATAGTTCAGTACAGTGCTGTACATTAATAAGCTGTACAGCTGTGTACAGCAAAGGGTAGTGCAGTGGAGACAGCTTAATATGCTTTTTAATCATTAGCTACTGATTCCAGACACTTTTACAGTGCACTCAAATTTTCAAAATATCTTTTTATAAATATTATCTTTTATTTTCTAAATTAAAATCAAACTTAATTATTTACAAAATATTTAAAAATGAACTTTTAAAAGTTGATGGGACAGTTCCTTTGAATCCAGGTTTCCTTATTTCAATTTGTTAAAACTAAAATTAACTTTTGATTTAAATTTTTTTATATTTCCGATCTTATGTGTTTGCATTTCAAACTAACCATGTTACAAGGCAGTAGCATCATAGGAGCCCAGAACCAATTGATTAATTGATTTATTGAAGAAAAAAAGAATTGCCTTAAATTAATTGATTGTCAGTAAATCAATTGTTTATAATTTTCTTTTATGATAAGCCTACTTACTGTCTACTCAGTCTACTGGCAAATAAATAGTTCTTAATCCCAACCTCTACATTTGTAGAATTAAACAATTTATTAGTTAATTCATAAATTATTTGATAATAAATTGATCTATTTGTTAAGCGAGTGGAATAGCTAAAAATTCAAGATAGTAGATAATTGATTGATTGTTAGTTCTGTTGGGTCCTATGGTGCGTAATCCTTCACATAAAACTAATCCTGATCTCATCAGTTGTCTCCACTGGGCGCCATTTTGAATTTTGGATAAATCCAGTTTTGAGCAGTGTCAGTGTAAAACCCATTTGTTCCCTTGTAATTCAGTTAAATATAGATTTAAAATTATTTATCATATTTCAAGGAGAGAGCGAATAAAATAGTAAATGATGATGATTATGATGATGATATTGATGATGATGTTGATGATGATGATGATGATGATGATTAAGACATTTGGGGCATTGAAAACTAAAACATTGTATTTTTATCTTTATATGATATATACTAGCTCAAGTGCCCGGCGTTGCCCATTAAAAAAATTAGATTTAAAAAAAATTAAGTTTAGAAAAATATCGATTTTAAAACAAAAACAAAATTGGTTAGCCTGTTTTTAGATAATGCTCCAATATTTGCCCCAAACAAAAATACAACCCTTAGTTAAAAAAAAACTGCCTCTTCATATATTTTAAAAATGCCCCTGAATAAAAAAATTTGCCCCCAAAATAAAGCTTTCAGATTTCCCAAACGCAAAATTGCCCCAAACTGAAAAAAATGCCCCCAAAAATCAAATTTGCCCCTAAAATAAAATATATTTAAGATTTTCCCCACACAAATTTGACCCTGCAATTCTGAAAAGAATGACCCATAATTAAAAAATGCATTCCCAATTAATAAAGAATGCAACCAAATATAAAAATTTGCTCCCAAAATATCCTGTTGGTAATTGGTTATTTTTTTCATGCACATGTTAAGTATAATTTACACATTTTACAATTTACACATTTAACTTCCCCTCTCTTTCCCCGGATACCACCGTTTGGCCGGCTGTAGGAAACATATATATGAATGTCTTGTTTTATAATATACCCTACTAACCCGAAAACCTAAAAATGAAAAAAGCCTCTATATAGGTATACATATTCTTAGGTATACAATTCTTCTAAATCTAAGGTATCTTAGGTAATGTATAATTAAACATTTGTATGCTCAACTTTTTGGTAACTTTTTATCATACGAAGCGATTTTTTAAGTACTTAGGTTTTCCGTATTTTTACGAATAATTCCGCATACTTCTTAACAAGTAATATTTTAAAAAGTTGTAGGTTTTTTATTTTACGAGTTTTACATATTTTTCGTTTATTTCTTTACTAAAAAATTGTATTTTTTTAGAGTTAATAAGTTTGATGCACACCTAAAAATTCGCATATTTTCGTAAATTTCATACCAAGTTATTAGGTTTTTATTTTAGGTTTTTTACGTATTTTTTTCGGTTTTTTCTTTACTTAAAAATTGTATTTTTTTGAGTTTAAAAGTTTACGTATTTTACGCATTTTTTCGAATTTTTCTTTACTTAAATTTTTGTTTTGTTTTTAAGAGTTTATAAGTATATCTAAAAATACGTATATTTTCGTAAATTTCAAACCAAGTAATTTTTCAAAAGTTGTTAGGTTTTTATTTTACATATTTATACGTATTTTTCGGTATTTTTTTAAGAGTAAAAAGTTTGATGCAAACCTAAAAGTACGTATATTTTCGTAAATTTTTATATCATGTAATTTTTCAAAGTTTTTAGGTTTTTAATTGTTTCGAGTATTTCTTAACTCGACTTCAAAAGTTTAAGGCTAACCAAAAAATACGAATATACATTGTTACCTAAGTTATGACTTTTAATAGTCCAATGAACATGATTCCCAATTGTGTATTGTTAACAGACCCATTCAATTTAATAAGTTATGTATAGTTAAAAATATTTGCTACATTTGTTCGACAACATAAAATACGCTTATTTTTTGCTTTAATGTCGTCTTCCTGTTCCTCAGATTTCTGGTTCTCTCTGTAATTTATTGAAACCTTTAACCGTTTTTTGCATACAAAAAGTTTAATACCGTGAATAATGGATATCAATAGATGTTGGGGCGAGGGAAAATATTTTCTTTTTTTGATAAAAATCTTCTCTTTATACAAAAGAAAGAAACAACTAAAGATGTTAAAGAGATGTTAAAAAACTTAAAATTTTACTTTGAACAAATACATTGTAACTTTCACGAATATTGTAAATATTATAAATATAAATTCGATACAGGGTGTCCCACAAAACATGACAGTATGCAAGACGACTTGAATATCGTCTTGATTTTTGATATAATTTGCTGCGTTTATTTGTCAACCTAATTTTAGAAGTAAATTTCTAGAGATAATAATTACAAAATTCCCCTAGTTCTGCCATTTCCAAAATGTGGTCTGCATTTNCCCCCCCCCTTTCAAAATGTCTATAGTTGCACGCCTGTCTTATAATCTCAATCCCTATTAGATAGAAATCTTCGATAGCTCAGTTGAATAATAGTTCGGTTAATGTTGCATTTTTTCGTTTCTTGTCGTCTTTGACTTTTGAATCTTGAAATCTATTGGATTTGTATTCATTTGCGGCATTTTCCATAAATACACACACGTGCAAGTGGGCTGGTAGCCTTGCAGTATTTTCTACAACATTTTTTAGTATTTCACCATATATTTGGTCGAATTTTGCAAACTTTCTGTTAAAAGATCAATATTATTTGTCGTCCATTTTCGATTGTTTTATTAAATCTTTTCGCAAACTGTTAATGTTCATGTGGGAATATTTTAAGTTTTAAATCTCTGCATGGTTGAATTCCTCATAATTATGTTTAATCGTACATCATTTTATTATTTGGCATGAATATTGGGACGCTCGATGTCAAACTTATAAAGTTTTGAATCCCGTACCCGACATCTGGTAATTTTCTAGAGAACGATTTTTGGACCCCCCTCCCGTATCAAATGGATATGAATAGTCATGTGGCCGCAGCGCCCTCGTTAGCCTGTCCTAGCCGCGGTGCTCGGTCTCCGAGCCGCAGCTCTCTACCCTTGGCCTGTCCTAGCCGCAGGGCTCGGCCGTGAAATGTCTTGAACTGACCTTCAAATAATAAGAAATCCCAACTACCTTAAGATAATTCAAAGATAAATAATAAATTTGCAGGGTAATTTCCCGGAGAACGATTATTGTACCCCCCTTCTCCGCCCTCCTTATCAATTTTGTAGTTTGAACTAATCATGTGGCCGCAGCGCCGGCCCCCTAGTCTGTCCTAGCCGTGTCCCTCGGCACCCTAGCCGCAGCGCTCGGCCCAAAAATTGTCATTACCTGACTTAACTCTAAAATAAGAAAAAATTAATCTACAAAATTATTAAGAGGGGGGAGGGAGGTGGGAGGTCCAAAATTCGTATTCTAGGACGGACCCTGGTCTTGCACTAAAGTTAAAGGAGGGGGGGGGGGGAAGGTCCTATAATCGTTGTCTAGGACAGTCCCTTGCCGTTGGAACTGTAAGTCCTGTAATTGTTTCCTTGTTTTTTTTTCTTAAATGTACGTTTTATGATGCTCTTTTTACATGTTTCTGTTTACAATTATGGGTTTATAACAGAGAAGATGGCGAAGCGTAAGATGGATATGAGTTTGGATGATATTATCAAAGAAAACAAAAATGAGGGATAATTAATCAGTTATATTTATGTCAACAAACCTGAAAAATATTTTTTGCCAAAGGAAAACTTTCTTTTTCCACTTTGTACGGATAAGCCTTCTGTAATCTTGAAATTAGGGTTTATTATCTGATCTGTAGAGGTTTGTTTGTTACAACTGTAACGGTTCTGGGCACATGGCCCGGGATTGCCCCACCGGCGGCGGGGGCCGGGGTGGTGGAGGAAGAGGAGGTGGAGGAGGAGGTCGCTCAGGAGGAGAGGTAGAGTTCTCTTCAGTAATTTATGTTTTATGTTTCAGAGTCACTTAACGTTAACGAGTCGTAGAACAGACTTTAGTGCTCTCTGGTTCCACCAAAATGGTGATTTTTTCTTCATTTTTTGTATCATCCGTCACACTTAGTTATACCTTCCTCCTGTTATCAATTTTGCACAAATAGCATTAATGTTTCGCATGAGCAAAGTTGTATGTTCACCACCCTTGTATGTCACGAAAGTATTGAGATATTCGACACTGTTAATTATAAATTTCTCCTTTTTTGAATTTAGTTCCAAGTATTTAAATTATAATCTTAGTTAGAATCACATGTTAAACAAATTTTTTAAAAACTGAATCAATTGAATGTTTATTACTTAGATCTTTTTATAAATGTCTAGTCTTAACTTAATTAAATGTATCAATATGAGACATTCAGGTCTGTTACCGTTGTGACCGGCCGGGTCACTTTGCCCGTGAGTGCCCCAACGCTGATGGACAAAATGGTGGAGGAGGACGTGGTGGCGGAGGTCGTAGGGATAGAGGAGGAGGACGAGATGACCGTGAGGGAGGTTCAGTCTGCTACAAGTATGTCTAATTTTTTCTAGTTTCTGATTTATGGACTTCATCATAGGATCCCGAGGTCCAATTTTAGGAATCCCCTTTACTGTTTTTGAAGTTTGAACCATATACGGTGTTTTTGAAGTTTGAACCATATACGGATAGTTTTATTTGCGTCTACAATGTGCCATTAAGTGAATTTTTTAAAATTTAACAATCTCTATCCAACTCTTCTATTCTCCTGCGCATTAAATTCAATTTGTGGTTTTAACATTTCGACCGCAACCAAATTCTTAAGAATTATGAGATTGTATAAATGAAGGATCTATTTTGATATTAAATATGGTTCTTTATCCCTTTTGTGGATTTAGAGATGTCCTGTTCTCCTGCCGTGTACATTAAACGTCGAGTTTCTTTTGTGTGTACAATAACATTTGAGTTAGAGCCGCCTTAAAGGGACTGAAAGCATTGTTTAAATGCACCCTCCGGCAGTGCTTAGGATCCGGATCCGTTGGATCCACAAAATTTTGGCTTCATGGATCCGGATCCAAGGGGTAAAATATCAACCAAAAACTGTTAAAAAACTGTCACTTCCAAAACCCTATTCTGAAATTTTGAATTAATTTCCTCATTTCTAAATGGTTCATCAAGTTTTAGGATAAACATAGGCGAAAAAAAAAATAAAACAAAAATTTGAATATTATTTAATGCTAGAAGTTCAGTAAATCGTAAAGGAATGACTTGGATCCAGGATCCGGATCCGCATCAAAAAGCACTGCCCTCCAGCCTTAATGCATAAGTGGGAATGTCGGATTTACAACTTAAAAGCGTTGCCTGAGCTCGTTCTCTCTAATAATGTATAAACAGTGGTCGTGGTCGTGTGGGGGTTCAATAGTTTGACCGCTAAATGTCTCACGCAAAATTCTTTTGCGATAGATAGAAAAACAATTCTAGAGACACCTAGCGGCCAAACTATCGTGTTTCTTAATGTTTATGATTGTGGTAAACGATTAGTTTCAATTGTGTTTTCTCGATAAAAATGACTTGCGCATTTCTACTGCAGGAAAATATATAATAATGAACAAAATCAAAAACCTTAAAATCTAGATGAACGACTAAATTATTCATATTACTGATTGATGTTCAAAGGGTAATTACCCCCTTGATGGATGTTTATTGAGCGCTTTCCTTAACCTTTAGGATGAATTCATCAGATCTAATCAATTATTTACATCTAGGGGTGTATATAAGGGGGGTATTGTTCGAGCACACATACCTCCCCGTTTAGATCATTTCAGATAAGTATCAATCTTGTGTTCAGGTGCGACCAAGTTGGTCACTTTGCCCGCGAGTGCCCTGAGAACGACGAAGGTGGACGCGGTGGAGGAGGTGGTAACAGCGGGTCTGTCTGCTACAGGTGTGACCGCGTAGGTCACTTTGCCCGCGAGTGTCCCGAAGGAGACGGAGGTCGTGACGATAGACGAGGTGGAGGTCGGGATCGTGGAGGTGACCGCGGCGGAGATCGTGACCGTGGAGGCGATCGTGGCGGAGATAGAGATTATGGCGGCGGATCCAAGTGTTACAAGTGTAACAGGTATTAAAGAAATTAAAATTTACAGATAATAAACTTGATTTAAAAAGTTAACATTTCTGGTCCAACGAACGATTTGATACGGATTTGTATGATAGCGTTGGTTTGAATTAATTCAAACAGATTTTTGAAAATAAATATTATTTCAAGGGTTTATGTTTTTCCGCCTTATCTATCAAATTATGTTTTCCACTGAGATAAAAATTTATTTGTAACGAGTGCTTTGGAATTTAAAAATGTATTTTTGCTGAATTGGAGTTAATTAGGGTGGAAAGTTGTTAGTCCACTGTCTTTTTATTCAGTCTTTTACGTGCGTTTTGATGACCGTCCATGTTTAGGTTCGGTCATTTTGCCCGCGAGTGCCGCGAGGAAGAAGACCGTTGTTACAAGTGTCACGGGACCGGTCATATTGCCCGTAACTGTAACCAGGAGGAGGATACCTGCTACAACTGCACCAAGGTAAGCAACCCCCCCGCACCCAGAGAATAGGAAAGATATTTACAGTTCTCAGCTAAAAAAGTGCAGTTTAAAAAATACAATTGGAACTGAGCCCGTTCTTTACCTAATAGTGTATGAACGGTGGTCGTGTTGTTAACTTACTTTCGGTGACTATGTTTGGCCCCCAGATTTCTTACCAAAATTCTTATCTGATAAATAGATAATTCGTCCGACCAGAATTGGAGGACGTAATGTGTTCGACCACTAATGTTGAAAGGAATGACTGAGGATTATTTCAGCGAATCAGACTAAAATCATAAATATTTTCTTGGGAAAATAAATGGGTTTCAACGAAGAGGAGGCAGGGGGGGGGGAATACGAGAAAAATTAAAGTCACTTTAAATCCATCCATATTTGTCCTTAGGTTGGTCATATAGTGAAGGACTGTCCGAGTGCTGGGACCAAGAACTGCTACAAGTGTGGAGGTGCTGGTCACATCAGTAGGGACTGCGCTACAAGAACCTAGAACTCCAGGTAGGTAAATTCTAAGGACCTTCAAGTTGATACTTCAGTTCAGGTCCATGGAACTAGACCTTTATGTCGTCAAGTCCAAGGACCTTTAACTTGTTAATTCAGGTCCATGGACCTAGAACCCTATGTACGTGAAGTCCAAGGACCTTAAACTTTATACTTTAGGTCCGTGGACCTAAAACTCTGTGCGATTAGTCAAAGGACCTTTAACTTGATACTTTAGGTCCATGAACCTAGAACTTTGTACGATAAGTCAAATGAGCTTTAACTTGTTAATTTAGGTCCATGGACCTAGAATTCATGTACGTCAAGTCTAAGGACCTTAAACTGTATACTTTAGGTCCAAGGACCTTAAACTTGACACTTTAAGTCCATGGACCTAGAACTCGAGATTCAGATAAAGTCCTGAGGACAATTCTCTGGGTGGCCAAAATGTACGGATAATGGCTCAAATTATACGGATTTTCAGGATTATTTTTCGATTTTGACCCAACAAAAGCTAATTTTTGCATGAAAATTTTCTAAAAAAAAAGTCTCGTCAAAATGAAGTTTAGCTTATCTTCTTTATTTTCTGATTTTTTTAATCAACTTTATCATCTTCATAATCTGTACAGTACACTGTACAGTGTACTGTTATATGTACATTGTACAGAGGTCATTTTTGTTACGAATTATTTTTAAAGCCATGTAAGGCCTTTAGGCTTATATAAGAACACGAAGAAAATTAATAGAAATGAGAAATTATTTTTTTTAGTTTTGAAGTTTTTTTTATAAAATTTTTTTATTCTTCGGATTTTATGTACGGATTTTTTTATCAAATGTACGGATTGTACGGTGTTCTTTTAAAATTTACCTATTTTTCTACGGATTTTTCTCTTCTCGGAGTTTGGCCACCCTGTATTCTTCTCTGAAGTCTGAAGGACCTAGAACCATTTTCTGAATATTTATCGAAAAAGACGAACAAACAGGGTTGAAGACTTCAGACACCTGGGACTTTTTTGGACACTGGCTAGTTCAGACACAGACTCGATTTTTCAAAGACACGTGGAACATTTTTTAGAAAATTTTCTTATTTCACCCGACATTTAATATATTACATCCAATGAAATGTCATAGGTATCGTAATATCTTTTTTACTTAGTTCTCTACAAGATCAATATTAAACTATTTTTAGAACTTTTATTAATGAATGTCATATTGAACCATTCAAGGGTTAAATTTGTAACAATGATATTTATTTTTTAGATCTAGTAAGCCGTGGTACAGAAGAAAATACATTCGTACAGGTATGACCCCCCCCCCGGGCCTTCTCCTGTATAAACTGAAAAAAGTACATGCATTATGATACATAACACCTTTTTTCTCAATTATTTTCAATCTTCCATATTTTATATGATGTTTATGTTAATAGGCGAGAGAAAGGTCTTGGCAATCTTTCCGACTTCTATTCCGGGTTCACCAACAGTTCAACTTAAACCTGAGCAAGTCCCATCTCTTGGGCTTCTAACCCTCACACCGCCATTCTCAGCTTCAAGTCCAGGATGCGTGTGTGAAAATGCGCAAATTGGAATTTACTGTAATGTCAAGGCCGGCAGTTGCAACAATTGCCGCTCAAAAATGATTTGGCGGATTTCAACAATATTTTGTAATTTTTTTCTTACGGACTTTCTGACATAGGATTGAAGCCATAGATACTCCGTTTATTCCCCGGTGGCATTTTGGGTCAACAAATTTGAAGCATTTTTCCTCTTCTCGCAAATATATAAAACTTATGCAATCTATTCGATGTAAACTATATATGGCTTCATGTTACGTATGTTTCGCCCATATAATTTCTCATGAATTGCTGGGTGTTTCAGTGTTACAATGGCTCCCCGATATGAGATGTGCGTTGGTATGGAGAAGGGTCACAAGACCACCAAGAATGTCCAGAAGGTAGAATTTTTTAATTTTGTAAAATGTGTTCAACCAGTGCTTAGGATCCATTTGATTTTGATGCGGATCCGGATCCTGAATCCGCACTGGAAAAAATGGATCCGGATCCAGGTTATTTATTCAAGATTTACTGAATTTTTTTTATCAAAAAAAATTTTTAAATGTTTTATTTTTTTCGCTTATTTTTATCCTAAAACTTGATGAACCATTCAGAAATGAGGAAATTTTTATAATCTCTTTTTTCAAAAGTTCAGAGAGTTGAGTTTAGCAGTAAAGATTTTTTTTGCAGTTTTTGGTTGATATTTTACCCCTTGGATCCGGATCCAGGAAGCCAAAATCTTACGGAGCCCACGGATCCGGATCCTAAGCACTGTAGTTGAACTATGATACTTTCTTCTTTTTCAACTTCAAAGAGCACCTTTTTTTGTACAACTGAATATTGAGGACAGAAAAGTTCGAGGATTCAAAGATATTTTTTCGTACAAATACAATTGGTTTTTATTACAAGCATCCAGAAACCTAAGTTTAGGTCACGTGAGGTCCTACAAAAAATGTAGGTCCAATCGGTTCTGCCGTGTCGTTTATTGAAAAAAAGCGACAAGCAATGTATATACATGAATTTCAAAATGGGATAATTAAATTTTCACTGGGTCCGTTTTTCTACCACTGAGGCCAATTAAGTTAAATTTGTTTTATTTATGAATTTAATTTGGGTAAATAAGTTCAAAGTCTTAAGATAATATTGCGAACAAAAATTCCTATTGCAGTAATTAATTTGTTATTTTTTTCTCGAGAAACTTTAGGATGGCCATTTTAGGTATAATTTAGCTGAGATTTAAATTTTTAAATGTGAATTATCCTGGAAAGCTGGGTTTTTGTTGCTGGCACGAAGGATGTGGGTCTGCAGAAGTATCAAGGAGCTGAAGTTCTTGATCAGCCAGGGTTGTAAATCCTAAGCCTAAGAAACCCTCCAGAAGAAATTCTGTGGCAATACGGTCTTCGGATAGTATAATGCATAAACAAATATTTTGTTGTAATGTTAGGAAAGGCCCGCTAAGAGCAAGGGACGTGTGACCAAGCATAACAAGTTTGTCCGGGATCTTGTACGGGAAGTTGTTGGATTCGCTCCCTATGAGAGGCGTGCACAGGAGTTGCTCAGGTAGTAACACTTCAGTGTCCGAATTTACTGAATTTAAGCCGCATCTCAAATTCTTCAAATTCGGCCTCAGAACATACTTATATTGGACAAGACCCGATTTACGACGTTGCCCTTAAACCCTTCATCTGGTTAATTATGTGGAAAATGTTTTTTAAATCTGACAATAATCAATTCTACTCGCTTAAACTTAGACATCTCTTTCAATTATAGTTTTAGCTGTGAATGGTACCATTATGAATGGAACATATCACTCTGGAAATGAATGTTCACCTTATAACTGCGAACTCAGTCCCATTTAAATAGCCCAATTACCATTTATTTAGATCAATCACCGATTATATAGTCCAATCACCGATTATATAATCCAATCACCGTTTATATAGTCCAATCACCGTTTATATAGTCCAATCACCGTTTATTTAGTCCAATCATCATTTTTATAGTCCAAACACCATTTATATAGTCATAGCACCATTTATATAGTCCAATCACCGTTTATAGTCATAGCACCGTTTATTTAGTCCAGTCACCATTTATATAGTCCAATCACCATTTATATAGTCCAATCACCATTTATATAGTCCAATCACCATTTATATAGTCCAATCACCATATATATATAGTCCAATCACCATTTATATAGTCCAATCACCATTTATATAGTCCAATCACCATATATATATAGTCCAATCACCATTTATATAGTCCAATCACCATTTATATAGTCCAATCACCGTTTATTTAGTCCAATCACCATTTATATAGTCCAATCACCGTTTATTTAGTCCAATATAGTCCTAGCACCATTTATATAGTCCAATCGCCATTTATTTAGTCCAATCATATGGGTTTCTTCTTGATTATGAGGTTTGCATATATTTTCGCTACATTTATTGTAACCGAAAAAATGATATTCCTGTGTATGTGGAATCTGTTCTTATCATCTGAATCAACGACGCGACTTAGGCTGGAAGTTAATTGTTTTCATTTGAATTGACACACACACAAAAGCTTTAGCTTTAATGTTTTAATTAAAATTTATTTCATATTTTATTGAATTTCTGTTCCAGGATTGGTAAGGAGAAGCGTTGCCTGAAGTTCTTGAAGAAAAGGATCGGATCCCACGACCTGGCCAAGAAGAAGCGTGAGGAGATGCAGAACGTTCTCCAGGCCATGAGGAAGAAGCACGCCGCCTAAGCAATCTCTGCCAATTTTCCCGCTAAATTTTGGTCGCTTTCGCGCCAAATTTTCCTGGTCGAGTCGCCATCTCGTCTCCATTGATATTTGAAAATTTCCACCATGTATCGTTATCAATGTTCAATAAAAGGGCACATAAAATAAACTTACTTTTTTGAAATGTTTCAGATTTAGACATATAATATGGCGACTGTCAGTATCCCAGACAGGTGTGTAAACTTGGCTTCAAGATTAGATTTCAGAAATTTGAATATTATTTTGTTTTGAATACATGTCAAGTACTTGGGAGGAGTTTCTTATATCTTGTCACTTTGGCGAGCTAGACTGACGAAAATAAGAATCTATAGACTAGAGAGAAATTATTGATTTTTTCCTGTCTCTTGATCTATTCAAACCATAGGAACTGAAAAAGAAATATCATTTTATGATAAATAAAACATTGAACATGGTGCTTCAAAATGAAAAAATTACTTCACTCAAATCTGAACTGAAAAAACTAGAATTTTACAAAAATTTCTTATCGCTGACAGGTTTATCATGAAAATAAACGAAAAGGGAAGAAAATTAATTTAAAAAGTTTTCTTTTGTTAAAAAAAATAGAAAATTGTTATAGAAAGTAATTACCTGGATTCCCTGGGTCCGGTCCGGATCCTCATCAAAAATAAATGGATCCTAAGCACCGTCTTCAACACAATTGTTATTCAGAGGTTTATAGGATACCGTTGCAAATAATTTTGGTTACTGCAGTTGCTGTCCCTATGAGGATCAAAGTTTTAAAGTATTACACGTTCAAAGGTTTTGAAATTTGACAAAAGGAGAATTCCGACCTGAAAAAGGTGTTTGTTAGGGTCAGGTTTTTTAATGATTAGTTCAAATCACTGATATGATATTTATGACCATACATCTTGATAACTAATATTATTGTGAACATTTTACCGTTCATGATTTTGTGTCCTGCAATTTAGAGTGAAATTAGATATATTATCGAGAAATTGTTATTTAGTTGCTGGATCATTTAAGAAATTTGTTGTGTTGCCTCCTACATTTGGAACTTGAAGAATGGGGTTGTACTCCCCCTCCCCCCTCGATTCAAAAATGTCTTATTTACTCAATTTGAAAAAAGTGGAATAAAAAAAAGAATATTTTTTTGAGGAAAATGTCATAATACTAAGTATGTCCGATTTTCTAAGGTACCCTTAAACGCTTTGTCAAATCAAACATGACTTAGATATCTTAAAACTGATTTTATTTAATCTTTTGTTTGTTTTTTAAATTATTTGCGCATTTAAGTGCGGAAAAAACCTCGAGGAATTATCGAAATAAAACGGCCTTTAACCTAGAAAAACGACAATATCTTTCAAATTATTGATTATATAAAAGATAAGGGATTAGAATGCGTAGTTCTAAAAGAGAGTAACAGACAACAGCTAAAAAGAAAAATTCATTCTCTTCTAAAAAGTTTGTTATAAACATTTTAAACATAAAAAATGTTAAAAAAGATGAAGGGTACAGTCGCGAATCTGGCATTACCATCGTTACATTCCCTTTAAATGTGATTGATTGATATAAACCACGTGATTAGTTGATTGGCTTGTGGGTTGCGGTACGGGGAATGATTAAGAAAAATAGAAAAAGATTTGTTACACGTGCTTAAAATACGTGATTAATTGATTTGTTTAACTAGGAATGGTGTCGGACAACGCCTGGCTGTAGGTTGGGGTGTGGGGAATGTCCTGGCGCTAACCCCGACACAGAAACAATCACCTGCTGACACCAGACAAGAAGCCAATGGTAAATATCTTCGTTAATTTATTCACGGATTTCATTTTTTGAAGATTTGGTGAAAAAAATCGGAAATATTAATGTTTTGCCTGATTATCAGTTTCTTTTCCCCTGAAAAATATTCGTTAAAAAATTTAGCAAGAAATACACATAACAAATTGTTATTTACACTGTGTTCAGATTTAAAGCCAAGGAAAAACAATTATTTTCAAGGAGGGGGACTAATAAGATTTCTATCCCTGTTCGTCAATTACCCCATTAAGATTTCCAAAAGGTTCTCACTAGACTACAAACGCAAACAAAAATGCGCTTCTTGTGTTGAGGATTAAGAGTAATGCCATAATATTAAATATACTTTGCGTGTCTGTTAGTTTGTTTGCTCGTAACCGATAAACGTCTTAACGGCTGAATCGATCGGGCCCAAATTATGTGTGGGACCTCACATGACCCCAGGGAGGTTTATGAATGGAAAAAATTTAAAAAATTTTGTCTTAAAAATTTTCGATTTTTTTGCAATTTTTTTATTTCATTCGTTTTGCAACTTTAACTTATCTACAATATTTTAAAACCCTCCAATAAAGAACTAAAAATTGTTTACAAAAAAAGTAAAAAAATAACTCTTGTGCAGATCCAGTAGAGGTTCATGAGGTGAGATGGGAAACTGTTCTCTATCAGCCTATCTTCAGGTAGTTAAATCAATCAATCAATCATTTTGTCTTATTTCTGACTTCATTCGATTTTCCACTTTGATTTTGTTATTTTCATATCGATTTAATACTATTTTTTTTAAAATGTTTTTCATCAAAATTCTTTTTTTCAGAAAGCTCGTCAATGAATCTGTTTCTACGTTTCTCGGACTTCAAGCTCTATGTCAGGGAGAAGGTTAGATTTAATCTTTTCATTTTTGTCATTTCTCTTTTAAGTTCCTTCCTAATCCCCTCTCATACTTAACACCCTCCTTAAGGAAAGCAATCAGCAACATGGTTCTAATAATAATAATATAGTTTGTAATTTTAAAAGAATCTTGCCGACGCTGCGCTGCCAATGGTTTAAATAGGGTTGCTGTACTAATCTTAACAGCTGTTGTTGATGGGTGGCTTGAATACTTATTGCTCCATTTTTTCTCATCAAATAACATAATAATATATTCATCTATGTTTAGGAAATATTCCAACAGATCAACTCGTTAAGATATCAAGACAGTACAGGTAATCTTAGCAATCCAAGGGATTAATATTTTCTATGATAACACTGGCACCCCAGGGGATGTATGTTTTCTCGAAAAATCATTTCCCCCCCTTTTGAAAATGATATTTATGCGTACACGGGGCACAAAAAAAAACAAAGAATATTTGGGTAAAAATTGTCAAAAAAGTTTCCTTCTGATGTCTTATTTTTTTTATTTTTTTCCGGCCAAATATTGTGTGAAATTATTTATTTAGAAAGATAAAAATTTTACAGTGAAATTTAGAAGAAATTAGAAATTTAAAAAAACTAGAAATTCAAGGCGCTTCGCGCCCTTCTTGCTAGCCTTTGAGGGCGCTTCACGCCCATCTTTCTAGCCATCTTCTAAATTAGTTGTGAACATGTTCTCTTTGTGTACATCGTAAAACAAAACAAAAATAATTCGCGGATTATCAAAATTTTTAAAAATTTAATGACGATCGAATTTTGATGGAGACAAATATTTGAAATTTTGATTTTTCATAAACCTTCCCTGGGGTCCCTAGATGTCCCACAAAAAATTTGGGCCCGATCGGTTCAGCCGTTTTGACGTTTATTGGATACAAACAGACAGACAGACAAACAAACAAACAGACAGACAGACAAGCCAAATTTATATATAGATGCAAAATTAGACGACATCAATCATATGTCAATAGATACGGTTTTTAAACTATTTAATATATTGAATATGAAAATGGGGATTACATTACAATAGACCAAAATTCATTTATTTTACTTGAGAAATAATTTCAGCTTTATGAGCAATAATTATTTTTATCTTATGTTTATTAAGTCCTAGTCTTACCATAAGTTCGCAGCAACAGAATCCTCATTAATATTTTGAAGAAGATTTTTCGAAGGATGGGGAAGGGGATGATTGTGTATCAAGAAGTTTGTACATTCCTAATATAAGTTTTAAAGGGGGAGGGGGACAATGATTTTTCTAAAAATAATCACCAATGTAATAGTCTGGAGGAACACTGGTCACTGTCAGGTTATAGCTTGTTTGTATTGAAAATACATTAGTATTGTGCAAAAGAAAAGCTAGATAGTCCGGATGAACCCTGGTCCTTGTCCTCGTCCTATAAACACCATAAGTTCGCAGCAACCGAGTATTTTGCATTTAGTAAACTCGAGTTAGTCCGGATGAACCCTTGTCTTGTCTAAACTAATCATGTTTTTTTTTCATACTAGCTTGGGAACCCAGCTTTGCCTGGAAACTAATTTTCTCTACAATACACTCAAATTATAAAAATTTTAAACCAAGCCAAGAACATTCCCGTGGTTCTCCCGAGTTTCCTAATCAAAATTTGAGACAAATCGGTCAAGAGGGTCCCCTGATCGTTATGATTGGACGTACAAACGAACATACATACTTTTAGGAGCATAATCCGAGACTGCGAGGAGCAGCTAAATACACTCTCAGAGACTAGTTCAGCTGCTGCGGTAAGATACAGGGATACCCACAAAGGAAGAGACTTCACAGACGACCGTACGAAATTCATTCTGTCCATTTCCTTAAATTCATGATTCCTTCAATCTGCTAAATCATTGAATAAGCCATTTCAAGACCACATATAAGGCAAAAAACTTAAATAAAACTTGGAATCGTTATATATGAAGAGTTTCAAGTCGTCTTTACAGTCGCATCCTTTGTGATTAACCCTGAACTACGATTTTCTTTTAGCTCACTATTCAAAACTATGATTTTTTTTTATTTACTTTTTTCGTGTTACGGTCTTGTTCCGACCCTTCAGGTTTATAAAATTTTAATTCCGTATTTTTCTAAGAAGCATATTCTTTAAAAATATTAAAATTATAAAAACAACATTTTCTAAATTTCTTTTATTGAACGATTTTCGATGATCTTTTGGGGGTGGAGGGAAGGTCTCTTAATACTCTTGAAAGAATGCGTTTTTCTAATGATTAACTTTTGGTTATTGGTTGTTTCGCTGAATTATTGATTGTTCAGATGATTGATTGATTGGCTGATATTGATTGATTGATGGACTAATATTGATTGATTGATTGATTGATTAGGCTGCCCACTATACTGCCCAGTCAGAAATGCTGTATAAACTTGAATTGATTTGGAATCTTGCGGAGATACTCATCATAGATACTCGTCCAGGTCAGTTGTATCCATTTATAGATACTCGTCCAGGTCAATTGTATTCGTTTATAGATACTCATCATAGATATACGTTCAGGTCAGTTATATCCGTTTATAGATACTCATCATAGATACTCGCCCAGGTCAGTTATATCCGTTTATAGATACTCATCATAAATACTCATCCAGGTCAGTTATATCCGTTTATAGATACTCATCATAGATACTCGTCCAGGTCAGTTATATCCCTTTATAGATACTCATCATAGATACTCGTCCTGAGACCGAAAAAGAATTTAAGCCGTGGTTTAAATTTAAGCCGCGGCTCAAATTTGGTTGGTTCCACTTAAATTTGTATAAAATTTTTCAAGATTTAAGCCGGCGCTAAATTGAAACCGGTTTTTGGGGGGGATTTTAGACGCGGCTTAAATTCATTAAATTCGGACACAGGTCAGTTATATCCATTTATACTCATCATAGATACTCGTCCAGTTGCCGAATTTAAAGAATCTGAGCGGCGGTTTAAATTTAAGCCGCGGCTCAAATTTGGTTGGTTCCACTTAAATTTGTATTAAATTTTTCAAGATTTAAGCCGGCGCTAAATTGAAACCAGTTTTTTGGGGGGATTTTAGACGCGGCTTAAATTCATTAAATTCGGACACAGGTCAGTTATATCCATTTATAGATACTCATCATAGATACTCGTCCAGGTCAGTTATATCTGTTTATAGATACTCATTTATAGCGATTTAAAAAAAAGTGGGTAAAATAAGACTCGAGACTAAGCTGTCATTCAAACTAATTTTAAACTCGAGCAATTGGATAAGTTGCAACTAATTTCCACAGAGTTGGGTATTTGGTGGATTTTCATGGTTGTAATTGGCTGATTTCGGGATTTGATTAGAATAAGACTCAATATAAAGACTAATTCTCCACTAAAACCAACCAAGAACGCTTATATTTTGATCGGGCCTAACTCCGCAAGTCTAAGCTAAGTGCAAGCTTTTTAATCACAGGCTCAGGGTAGTCATCAATCCTTAACTTAATTACTGTAAAGATTTTACTTGTTGTTTTTAGGTGGATTCGTCATGAACCAGCTTCTCCATTGGATAGGTCTGCATTTTAAAGATTGCGAGGTAAAACCTTCAATTGTAAAATATCATTATATTTACTGCTATTGTTGATATGCCGGATTTTTGGTAACTCACATTTTGGTAACGTAACAATTTGGTCGCTAGTAATTTGGTAACTAGCATTTTGGTAACGTTATAACTTGGTCAATAATTATTTGGTAACTCACATTTTGGAAACGTAACAATTTGGAAATTCACATTTTGAAAACCATCACTTAGATTTTGGTATCCTGGCAATTTAGTAATCTGGTAACTTGCGTTTTGGTAACTCACATTTTGTAACTATTTATTTAAATATCTATTCATTTTTGTTTGAGACATAAGTTTTTTTTAATGCAACAGTGAGGTTTTTCCTCTTTTAGGGTGGGGGTTTGAATCAAATAACGTTGGTTGGTTGGTTGATTGATTGATTGATTGATTGATTGATTGATAAATTGATTGATCGATTGATTTATCCATCTTTAAATATATTTGTCTTTAAGTTTGTCTATCCATTTCCCATTTATTTTCTCTCTATTAGGTCAGCTTGTCTGTCCCTTTGTGTGTATGTCTATCTATCTATCCTAATTTTTACTATCTTTTTATTTGGATTTTATTTTATTTTTATCTATCTATCTATCTATCTATCTATCTATCTATCTATCTATCTATCTATCTATCTATCTATCTATCTAGGATGGAGCTAGATCGGTTATATCGGAGAGCCCAGATACCCCAGAGGATCATGTTCTCTACTGGAGTTCTCTGCAGGAGTTCATTCTTCAAGGGGGAATGGATCCGGTTCCCCCCCCCCCCTACCTTCGGAGTGGGTACAAAACGTCGATGACGTTGATGATACAAAACAATGACTGCTACAAAACGCCAACTACCACTGCCCCCTCCCCTCCTACCTTCGGAGTGGGTACAAAACGTCGATTATCAAAACGTTGATGATACAAAACAACGACGTCTACAAAACGTCAACTACCACAAAACGTCGACTATGTACCACTAAATGTCGAATAAGAACACCTCGATGATACCGTGAAAAGGATAGACTTTAGCCTTCCAGTGAAAAATTGAAAACATTATTAGTTCAAAGCCCTCTGCCCCCCTTGTGGTAAGGCTCCCCGAAAAAGGGGCTTCGCGAGAATTGGTATTTTAAAACTAGACTAGCTTTTTGGTAAAAAAAAAACGTATTATCTGATAATAATTTTGAAGGCTGATTATTTTCAATTGTAATTTCGTTTTAAAAATGACTTGCGCATTTCTACTGAAGGAAAACACAATTTTCAAGCTAGGGCCACTGAAAATTACGCTCACAGGACCTCTAAGAACTTATTTGTTCAGGCTCGGAACCTACTCCGTCTTCACTCGGACTTCAGCTCAGACATGTTCATATCACTGGACGAACTGTTGAGGAAGATGCCGGTGTGCACCCCCGGGGGGAACATGGTGGACTTCGAGATGAAATGGAGGAACTGGCAGGTAAGATAGGGCCAACTGGTTATTAGTGGGGGATATTTTCAATCCCATCCTAGTACTTTAGATTTAATAATGATATTCTATCTATCTATCTATCGATCTGATTTGCAATGTTATTTAATGATGATATTCTATCTATCCATCTGATTTGCAATTTAATATAGAAATGATATTCTATCTATTTATCCATCTGATTTGCAATGTAATATAATAATGATATTCTATCTATCTATCGACCTGATTTGCAATGTTATATAATAATGATATTCTATCTATCTATCGACCTGATTTGCAATGTTATATAATAATGATATTCTATCTATCTATCCATCTGATTTGCAATGTTATATAATAATGATATTCTATCTATCTATCCATCTGATTTGCAATGTAATATAATAATGATATTCTATCTATCTATCCA